GCAAATAAGTGAAAACAAACCTTTACACATATTTTAAGGTATACTTAAGTATCGGATATCAGGAAGTCTTTACATATTCATATCTTATTCATAAACATATTCAAACCACCATAATATATACCTCAACAAATATATTAACCGTTTGGCACAATATCACATAGTAAATATGACAGTACAAATAGCTAATATACAACTCACAATCCAAAAGTGCGTGTATAACTGACAAAAGCGTTACGGATACAAATTTATCCATCCTCTCATTAAGACAGAGTGATTGTGCCGTTTGATTGAATGTGTCGTCTTTACATTGGTCAAAACATACGTACATTTACTCTTAATAATATAAGGCCTTTATAGCCGGTGGCTAGTTGGCCATGTAGTAGCTACTTTTCAGTCCAATAGATAAAAAGAAAGAAATACATTTTGAGCAAGTTCGTGACCCCGGCTCAAAAGCGTTATCACGTTTCAAATAACACAGACGCTACTTCATTTAACCCGTAGAAATCGAGAAAACAGTCACGTTCACAATTCAAATGCGCAACAGATGGTCCTGATACGAACATATGGTATTTCCGAACCCAGTGCAAGCCTAGCATATGGTGAGAAGATCTTGCTAAAGTCAAGCGTTTTTAGCATAATCTTCTCGGAATCCTGTTAAAACTCCACAACATATGGTCGATAATTCTTCATCGTACCAAATATTTTGTTTTTATACAGAATGGATATGATTTCGCTACAGTAAACGCTTTTTATCGTCAGTTGTGAAAATCCCTCTAACCCCACCACATATGGTCAATAAGTTTTCATGTTTTGTAGGCAGGAGACATAAATTGGATACTACATTTGCCATGTGGTTTAAACTTTGAATTATTTTATTTTGGCGTGTTTTATGCGTTTTTGAATAGTTGGGCTCTTTTTTGTATTGGTACCTTTTCTTCGCCAGCCTAACTCGGGTACAAATAATAACTGTATGGCAAATTGTTACTGCCAGCAGCTGGCCAATTTAAATTGTCTTTGCAGCGACCAAAAGATCTGCTTGGAGATCATAATATGGGGCCGGCTACCATCATGATGTTACTGTCCTACTGAATATACATGTAAATATGCCATTGCCACATGAGTATATATATAATCAGAGCACGCTCAGTACTGTCGCTGGAGCACGTTCAGGTAAGATAATGCCACGCCAGCGGCTGTTATCAACATCGCACGCCACCATCAATTGTGGAGGATGTATCTAAATTAGAGTGTGGCCTTGAATCATTCCCCTCAGTGCCTGTTGGTATCTGATTTTGCACTTCTGACTGCGGTGCTATGGTTTACATGATAAGACACCCGTCCACCTTTCATAACACACTGATCTCCAAGCGGATCTTTTGGTGGCTGCAAAGACAGACTGACATTGGCCAGGCTGTGTGCATTTGCCAGACAGTTACCTTCTCGTCACCCACTGCCTGCCAAATGCATACTGCCTGATTAATTAGATTCTGTCTTTTCAGCCACCAAAAGATCTGCTTGAAGATTAATAAAACACGGCGTGGGACGAAAACCGTAATATGGTAAGACCGATATATCCGGGTGGTCGGTGTGATTATAATCCCTGGCGGCAAAAGCGTTATTGTAAGAACTGGCTAGCTAGAGAGAGTTAAGCCACCGCTTATGATTGGATATTTCCTTGTACATTTGAGGTGTGATTTTGTATAAAGCGATGTTAGCATAATCTGTCATCAGCGAATTGCCCAGGCACTGATAACATTACATTTAGAAAAAAAGTTGAAAAGTTAAAGTCCTTCCCCTTGGACCGCAATGTTGGAAAACTTTGCGAGAAAAAATATGTGTCCTGACCTGGCAATTGAACCCACTCAACAGTTGGATCTAGTCCAAAAACAAACTTGTTCTTAGATTAGCTCCAGATATTACAAAACGCCTCTAGTTTCCATGTCTATCCAATATAGTCAAAGAGTCAAACCCAATTTCTTTCATATTTGCCAACATCTTCCGTAGACCCGTACTTAGGTGACACCATGACATGGTCGATTGCTGCGTCACAAACTCATACGACAAAAAGACAGGATTACTTGGTGAAATTCCAGTCACCAACAAATCGAAATTGCCAACATCTTCCGTAGCCCCGTACTTAGGTGACACCATGGCATGCTCGGTTACTGCGTTACAATCTCATACGACAAAAAGACAAGATGAATTGGCGAGGTTCCAGCCACCAGCAAATCGAAATTGCCAGGATCTTCCGCAGTTCCATATACTGGGGTGACACCATGGCATGGTCGGTTACTGCGTTACAAACTCACACGACAAAAAGAAAAGATTGATTGGAGAAGTTCCAGCTACCAACAAATCAAAATTTCCGTAGCTCCATACTGGGGTTACACTATGATATGGTCGTTTGCTGCGATAAAAACGCACACGACAAAAAGACACGATTGATGGGCGAAGTTCCAGCTAGCAGTAAATCGATTTTGCCAAGCCGAAGTCGAGAAAAATCGCACGTCCTTTTCATGCACGTTAAACGGCCTCCGTGACATGCCTATCTATTTTTACCCACACACGATATAATTCTCCTTAATAGACGGTCGAAACAGGGCATTAGTGGGAGACTAAGAGGCGGTGTCGGAAAGGTTTCGGAAGGTACATTCGTTCCCGCGTCCCGTGGAATAAAGCAATCTTCTACACAATCGATCTTTTGAAGAAGGATGCGGGCAGACTTAGTATGTACCGCCAGGCTGGATGCACGGAAAGTTTTTAGACGTGATTTGACTCACTTGTTGATAGCTTGAGACTGATAAAGTCACGGGAGACACTGCATGAAAAGTGGGATTTACCAATGATCATCTACAGAAAAGGCTGGTAATGGTTTCTTTATGTGATAATTTCAAACGGCGCCGGTATAGATTCGCCGCATGCATGTATTTATCGCACTTTTGGTATTCCCACTTTTTTGTGTGGAATGTGCTGTGCATATCTAACTCTGTGTGTAGCTGTTTCACTGCATGTAATGCTCAAGTATTGGCCTTTTTCCTGGCATGCGCTTATTGATCTAGCCTGGGTGCCAGACTGTTTCCAAGGCCTACACAGGCCAGTTCCTCAGCTTCAGTGCCAACATGCTAGCTTGAATGCCAGACTGTTTCCAAGGCATACACGGGCCAGTTCCTCGGCTCAATGGCCAATATGCTAGCCTGGATGCCAGACTGTTTTCAGGGCCTACACAGGCCAGTTCCTCGGCTCAATTGCCAACATGCTAGCCTGGATGCCAGACTGTCTCTATGGTCTACACAAGCCAGTTCCTTGACTCCAGGGCCAACATGTGCCCAAGGAAATTATACCACAGCCCTCCTCAGTTAGACCCAGCCAAGCAACCCTGTCTAACTGCCTAGCGTATTATAGGTCTGGCAACCAGGATAGAATTGGAACAGATCTCGACGGGATTGTTACTACCCGACCACAATTGCAACAACAAGTCCGGTACATCGACCCTGCGCTTACAATAACGCCCCAGCCATGCTCCTACTTATCTACTCATCAAGGACAGACCGACTCCGCGAAACTCATTCCACCTTTTCATGATGAAGTGGAAAAAGCCATCCCGACGGAAAGAAAAATCAATGGGCTTGGGGTTGACCAGGAGTAATGGACACCGAAGGGTCGGGGTTTCGGTCTCGGGCTAATTTCCGTGGGTCAAGGAAAATGTGTGACACTCTTAGTGAGAGGCAGCTACAGTTGGGGTTTGGTCGACGGTTTGGCCATCCATCAAATGTTTTTTCTCGTGGTGGCAAGAGAAGTGGCTAGCTTGGACGTTTTATTTTAGAACCGTAGTCGAGGGCACTTTGGACCATGGCGCCAAGGCGTCGGAACTAGTAGGATGAATAATTGTGGTGACCAGCACTTTAGTAAAGGGGACATGAAACCGCAATTTGCGCCGTGGGGTCAGGTCAAAGAAATGGGCACAAGTGAATTTTTTCGCCACTTCTAGCTATAGCATTAACACTTTAGCTTTCTTTACCTAATCAACATTAGCTCAATGTTGACGCAATCTTGACTCCATGTTCATTTTTCACGATGTCTAAAAGCACAATAAGTCAATCGAATTTGAAATTTTGGACAGGAAGTTTGTAAAAGTTACTCATAATGTAGTCAGAAATGCAAATACACAGAGGGCTCTCCTTGTGAAGAAATGCAGATAGAAAACCTACAATTTCACAGAAATGCACAAATCTTACTTCTTAACTTTTGGGTGCAGAGTAGTACAGTAAGCTCAGGCGGGGTTTCAAAGGTCCATTATGTAATTTTAGGAAAATACAAAAAGTCATATCTTTACACAGTAAGTTGACTTAACCCCTTAGTACTTTAGAACAATATTCAGTGAGCGGAAATGCAACATCGTCGGTGTAGATATAAGACATCCAGGTAATAAGATACGCCAAAGAAACAGTCACTAAAGCAACTGGATATGATTTTTATCGTCTGGTTGCTTGAGTAACTTTTTTTTGGCGTAAAATGCAACATCGTTGCTCCATACAAACATTTGTAGAAACTGTGAATCTTCACTTAGAATCTTCTTTTGGCGTCATCTTCTTCTCTTTGGTTTTCAAGTCAAATGACGTGACATTTTAGCGCGATGATGACTTAAGCTTCGTAGGATGGTCTCTTAAAGTAAAGAATAGCCATCCGGTCAGTTGGAATCTTCTTTTGTCGTCATCTGCTTGTCTTTGGGTTTCAAGTCGAACGCTTGACGTTTAGGTCGATTCTAACTTCGCACGCCGTTCTCTAAAAGTAAAGAACAGCAGTCCTTTTTAATCAGTTTGAATCTCAGTTCGCCGCCATCTGTTTCTCTTTGGTTTTCAAGTCGAACGACGTGACGTTTAGCTAGATTCTAACTTCGTACGGCGGTCTCCAAACCCTTGTCCTGCTGGCGATTTTTTACCATATGCGCTCCCTGTGCTGGGCTATTTAGACCCTATAGAATCGAGGGGTACTATTTTGAATCAGTTTGAATCTTCGTTCGGCGTCATCTGCTTCTCTTTGGTCTTCAAGTCGAACGGCGTGACGTTGAGCTCGATGCTGACTTCGTAAGACGGTCGACGCCCGACGCTGCATCTCCGGGCGAAGTCGCTGATGTACCCCGGCGGCCTCTGTTCGGCGTTGTTCAGCCTCCCGCCCGCGTGCCGGTGAAAGTACGGCACACCCACGGAGAAGCGGTGCGGCTTCCTCGGTCCCCGGCGGCTCCGGGTTGGCTTGTCGGTGGCCGGAGCGGTTGGCACTTCGACGCCGCTGTTGGAGGTCTCGGAGATGCGGTGCAGGGCCCGGTGCCCGTTACGGTCGTTCCGGAAACTGTCGCAGCTGCTGTCGAAACTGGTGGGGTCGTCCTCGTCTATTCGTTCACCTGGAGATGTCACACATAGGGGTTAGTGGTTAGTTAGTCAAAGTTTGTTTAAGTCATCCTCGCAATCAGCATCTATGAGGAAGAGTATGGGAAGGTAAACACACAACACTACCAGCGGGCTAGCCGCCTGTTGTAGTGCTTGCACAATTGTGTGGCCCAAGGGCTACAGAAATGTCTATCGGAGCTATCCTTATGCTCTGCACAGAGTGGAACGTTTTCGTAAGCCCCTTTTGGCGGTGTCGAATCGAAACTGGTCGGGTCGTTCTCGTCTATTCGCTCACCTGGGGATGTCACACATAGGGGGTTAATACCTTGAAGTACCAGAGGATTGAAGTGTTCAAAAACTTTCCTGGAACTATCGCAGAGTGGAACTCGCTGTCACCGAGTACAGTAGGGGCATTATCACTAGATAGCTTTAAACAATGTTAAGAGATAGATGTTCAAAGGTTATGTGTAACATGTCCTTCGGTGTAATGTAGCCAGATGCCGCCGCGCCGCGTGCTCTGGACCGACCGTACAAGTATATATATAGACCAGGTTTTAGTGAATAAGACTCAAGCATAGGAACTTACTGAAGTAAGCCGTCGCACGTTTTCCCCTCTTAACTCATCATTCGGTCGATTTTTCGCCAGCATACGAAACTCAACTACCTTCTGCTGTCATCATCCATAAGCATGATAAATACTAGCTATAATGCTGGACCATTACCCGATAAATATCTTTCTCCACGCAACATCATCATCTACTTTCAGTTTCACCATCCATCGATCGCTATCAGAGATTTCTAAGTAAGGCGGATTCAAAAGTTGAAAGGTTATAAATCAAAGAGGAACGGTTCATCCGTTCGAATTAATTTTAGATCTTCCCTTCAGAAAGTTGATGAATAACATCTGATAGTAAAGTGACTGCCCTTTTCCAGTCAGCGTCTACAGAAGTCTATTTCCAAGGCCCATCCGGGAGTGAATAACGCATTGTTAAGTACATGTATGGAGCGTTGTGTTCTCCAAATGTCAAATGCTCCCACGCTCTACATAACCATTACCAGTAGAAAGGCCTGACCTTTTGTGTACGACTCTTTATGTTCTATAGACAGGAAAACTCGCTCAGAAACGTCACTTCGCGTTCTTTGATGAAGTGAAAGGTGGCAGGTGCAGGTGGTTTTGAAGTGATTCCAGGAAGGCTGTGTTTTCGTTTTTAACGTAAACAGGTTTGATTTCAAGCGTGTATAGGGAACGTTTGTTCGTCTGTCTAGTTCTGTGTGCGAATGCCCTTGTTTGTTGTGTGTGTGTGCATGTGTGTTATGTGTGCGCGCGTCAGTATGTATACGTGTGTGTGTGTGTGTGTGTGTGCGTGTGTGTGTGTATGTGTGTGTGTGCGCGCGTGTGTGTACGTGTGTGTGTGTGTATGTGTGTGCGTGAACGATATTGTATGTGTCTGTGTAGGTTTTTTGTGCGTGTTTGTGTGTGTTTGTGTGTTTGCTTCAATATTAACCAGTACAACCCTTACCCAAGATAACGACAGACAGGCGCCGCGTGCTCCACCTGCGTCTCTGTATCTCCGCGAACAGTTCGGGCTCCTTCACCGGGTCCACCGGCGGCAGCGACCCCTTCCTGCCCCACGAGTCCGCCCTCGCTAACCCCGCGGCCTTACCGTCGGTCTCATCCTTCAGTTCCGTCGGCTCCTCCACGGTAAACGCCGGTGGGAGACCTTTCGTGATGGGGTGTTCTCCCGGAGGGTAGCGTCGCCTGCGGTTGGACGTGTTCGTGGTGGTAGTAAAAGGACCCGCGACTGTTTTATTCGCTGCAGTCTCTATCCTAAGATACGCTTTATCGTTAACGGGGCCCTTGAACAGGACGATGTTCTTCACGCACAGCCGGAAGAGCTGGTTCTGGAACACGTAGACCAGAGGGTCGCAGACCGTCGCCAGGGCGCTCAACAGGCAGGTGGACAGCAGGAACTCTGTCCGGTGTGTCTCTACCAAAGACGCGGAGAAGGTTAGAACACCAGACGTTAGCCACGTTAGAGAGAAGGTGATCACCACCATACACATTAAGACGCACGTCTTTCCCTCCACACGGGCGTACTTGTTCTTCTTCTTCTTCCCCATCTTGATGTTCTTATCCAGCTTCTTCCCGTGCATGAGCACGGCCCAGTAGATCAGGAAGTAGAACACCAGCATGGCGACGAACGGCACGAAGAGCGCGACGATCGCCACGTAAACGGCGTACGCGAACCCCCGCGGGACAGTCGTGACCGAGCACACCGGCAGGCTGTACTCGTCAACGGAAAAGATCTGAAATTGCACAAAAACACACATAAAAACACTAGAAAGGTAGCATTCGCAAAGAAAATGTTAATTCTTTCTCAAACACATTAGACTCCTGTCTGACCATATACACACACACTCGTCAACGGAAAAGATCTATATATATATATATGTATGTATGTATGTGAGCTCTTATAGTCACTTTAGTCTTTATTTCATAATGACTTGTACCAACACAGATAAACTTTAATTTCATGCGAAACAACAAACATACAAACAAACCGAGTTGCTCACCGCCATGCTCCACGCTGCCAGAGGTGGGATGGCGCACACCAGCCCGAAGACCCGTATCCCTAACACTAGTTACCATGGTGATAGACTGTATGGCCCAGGTCATTGACCTTTTGTGTTTAGTTGGAGAAGAGGAAACTGAGCAAAAACACGTTTCTTACCGCCATGTTCCACGCTGCCAGAGGCAGCAGCCCAAAGACCCAGATACCCAACACTAGTTACCATGGTGATAGACTGTCTGGCCCAGGTCATTGAACTTTTGTGTTTGGTTGGAGAAGAGGAAACTGAGCAAACACAAGTTTCTTACCGCCATGTTCCATGCTGCCAGCGGCGGGATGGCGCACAGTAGCCCGTAGAGCCAAATCCCCTAACACTAGTTACCATGGTGATAGGCTGTCTGGCCCAGGTCATTAACCTTCAATGTTTGGAGAAGAGGAAACTGAGCAAAAACAAGTTTCTTACCGCCATGTTCCACGCTGCCAGCGGCGGGATGGCGCACAGCAGCCCGAAGACCCAGACCCCCAACACTAGTTACCATGGTGATAGACTGTCTGGCCCAGGTCATTGACCTTTTGTGTTTGGAGAAGAGGAAACTGAGCAAAAACAAGTTTCTTACCGCCATGTTCCACGCTGCCAGAGGAGGGATGGCGCACAGCAGCCCGAAGACCCATATCCCTGGGATGGCGATGAAGGCGCGCTTGATGCTGTTGAGGCAGTTGTCCTTGGGTCGCACGATGCTGTTGTAGCGCTGGTAGGCGATCATTCCCATGGTGCAGATCGACACACTGGTGAAGAGAGTCGAGAAGAACGAGAACCATCTACGGGAAAAAATAATAAGACGAACGTTGAGTGGTCTAATCTCCAAGCAGATCCTAGGGTGCCAAAAAGACAGTATCACATTGGCCAGGCATTATCCCATCAACCTCTGCTTGGAGAGTAAAGTGTACCAAAACACACAGTAATTGCCGAAAATAATTTCATCAGGTTGGTGGAATATAGGATTTAGATTTCGTCTGACACAATCGGTGATGTTTCTTTTACGTTTCAATGTCTGTCAGACATCTTTCTCAGAGCTTCTGACTGGAACGTAATCAGGTGAGAAACACTACCTGCTGTGTAAGAAGAAATGTCTATATCCAACACTCAGTATCGTTTGATAAAGTAAGAATCTTGGACACTGAACTTGATTCTTTTTACAAAAGACATCAAGGAGTCCATTTACATTAGTGTCTATCAACATGAACAGGGGAGGTGCAGGTACAAACTTCCAGTCACCTATGACCCGCTCTTGAGGTCATACTTGACCCGCTCTTGAGGTCATACTTCCCAAACATCAGTGCGGTTTAGGGGTCCAATTCCTAATGAAGAGCAATGGACATGGTCATATAAACTCGGTGATAAATTTCTTAGCGCAGCGAGAAGTATAAATGGCAAGCCAGTACGCCAGAGTCATTGCTTCATACATACAAACTGCGTAATCTCCTCTTGACTTTGCCGTGGAACTACCTCCCCGAGGCCGGACTCCCTGGCCCATTTGATTCTCTTTTTTGCCGAATTCTACGATCCGTATTCCCGTAGAAAGGCCTGATGGAGGCTACAAACCGCGCGCCTAGCATGAGACACATTGTAAAATATGGATACTGCCGTAATATCCATCCCATCTGTTGTCTGTAATACAAATGTCTACATATCAAAGGCCTCCTGCAGTGCGACCATGCCGTTCCGGCTTGTTTACTGCCTGTTTACGACTTTCTACTCCCGGAGGGGGGCAAGTAAATTGACTCTTGCGGATTGATCAAAGTAAAAACGCACCACGAAATGAAAATATACTAAGGCCGCAACAAGTAAATTTTATGGATAACATCCTCCGCAGCCTCCAAATCTAATGCGATAGGGCGAATAAAAGGTGGGCAAAAAGCAAGTTTCCTACATTTTCAAATTTTGACATTATAAACCTTGTTAAGCAAACACGATATACCCCTTTTGTGCTACGTTTACAACATCCACTTCCCACTTGTCACTGAAAAATAAAACTTTTCAATCATATTATTGCATTGTACACAAAGTTTTGATTCGGTGGAAACATCACATATAAAAGAATAAAATGCACCACTGCATCAAAGTAAAAGACAAAACAATATGTCAGAGTCTTGCTTTTCATATTCATCTGCCATCCACGTTCCAGCATAGCAACAGACATCTTTGTCCAATTTCGGCATGTCGACCACTGTCAGAGGGCAACAAAATTGCTTGTTTTTATTCCAAAATCAGGCGCAAATTAATGAGCGCGTTGATGTTATCCATAAAAATCACTTTCTGTGGCCTAAAGTAAGAGCGAAATCGTGCTCCCCGCCAACCAGACTGAAAAAGTACACATTTTACCAGACCGCAGGGCGCGCGAAGATGATTCAAAACAAGATTCAGTCCCCCGGGACGACATCCAATCATCCCAGTGCGACGAAATCTCTTTAACGCCGTACGAAAAGGTTTTCTGTCAAGCTAGGATCAAAGCGAAAACAAAAGAAAACTAATTTGTACTGGCGCAGTACGATAAAAATAGAGCCTCAAGGCCAAACAAGATGCATAGACATAAAGAGATGTGTTAAAACGCGGACTCACTCTGAAAATGGCCTTTTTGCTTCTCATGAAATAGATGGCTAACGTCTCAAATTCTGAACGTTGATGGCTGAAACTTATGCCTTTGACACTGCTACAGACCAGAAATTTCCTGCAAGAGGACTTAAATAAGGGCATTTACCTTTAATTGGAAACAGTCATGCTAAAAACTTTAACTATAAACTGCAACTTATGAACCACTGCTCACGGAGTCATGTTTCTATTCGCATAAAGTGACATGACATAGAATTGATGAATTCCCTATTTTCATTTTACCATTGTGTTGAAACGTATACTTAAATCCAACTTCAGTCTTTCTTTATCATTTATTTCCCTAGTTAGTAATTATACCAGCACAACATATTTCATGAGTAGCACAATAGAGTTTATGTCATTCTTGTAACAAGATATTTTACGATTCATCGTAGATCTTACATATACGACTACCATGATGATCAAGCGTTGTCCCTTCTTGCATTGAAAACCCATTTCAGCCTAAACAAGTAAAATCTGAGATTTTATACCTCCGGGCTTTTCATTGTATATTTTTATATAGGATTTTAAACAAAGAATTTATCGAGACCGGACACCCCTCTGTGTGAAGGGTCATATACGTGGACCAGACCGAGAATAGCTTAAACACGCCAAAGGTCAACGGTCGCGACCATTTTCACGCTCAAAGGGGTGTTTTGGGGCCACCAAAAGGCACAATTCTCACGCCCGAAAACACATATACAATAAAAACCAAAGAACGTGCATCATCTTCAGCCCAATAGCAAAACATATACCGAGTCTAAAAAGAATCTGTCCACCCAAACGCGAGAAACAGCTGCGAACATGAAAATCTAAATCTCTCACAAAACCCTTCCGCGGAAGGATGTCTCCTCCCCCGGAGGTAATAACCGGGCCCTGAGGTAAAGAACGATGCAATTAACGCTGGGCGATGGATGGAGCAGACAAAAAATGGATCAGGGACAAGTGGTTCTAGAGCCGACATTATTGCAAATCTTTTCCTGTGTTTGGCCTTTATCGAACCCGATATCATTACTTCTCTTTACAATCTCACAAAATAAGTAGATTTTATCTTCTTCTTGCAAATAAATGCTGTTTGAGTGCTCTCGGGGCAACAGGTTGCAATAAAGTGAACCGTAAGTGGTCTTTCTTGTAATGTATCAAAACTGATTTAAAAGTATTTTGTCGTCGGAGGGGTGCGATAACATGTCTGATGGCTGATTTTACTGCAATTTTATGCTAATAGTAACGAAAAGAGAAAATAAATCACATAAAAAGCACCAGGAAGCAATTTCGACACACAATGCATAGTATATAGTTTATAGTTTTATATTATACGCCTTCGCATGTAATCTTTACGTATTAGCTTTGATAGGAGGGCACCTCGCAGTAGCAGTTTTTCCCTTGATACTGATTCATCCAATATGCTAGTATGTCATGGTTTAGTTTTTTTATTGTCGCCATATTCATCTTACCTGTACATGGTCAACTATGAATATTTTATCATTTAGCTATAGCTAGCGAGGTACAAGACACCCTAGAGACTGGTACAGAGGTATTGTTTTGGGTGGCTGATTTTTGGGCTTGTTTGTTCAAGTAACGACGTTTATTTGTAGGATGGGAGGTGATTTTGACAGTTGATTGATACGGGAGAGACCCTGACCAAAAATCCTTCTCGGAAGTCTGAAATCTTATAATTTGTTGCTTTCTGTTGGATTCAGTATCTGCAAAGACCACCCTAAGACTACTAAGCAACTGTGATCTAGATGTAGCAGTTTGTCCCATTTGTAAAGGAGATACCTGGTCCAGTGAGACACGAGTGCAGACCCAGACAAATAAAACACAGACAGGAACGACATCCATTTTTGAGAACCTTCTTACATCCAGGGCCAGACCGTAAGGAAGACAAAACGTTAACCTCGTTCTTTTGGCAGCGTGACAAAGAGGAGAGAAAGCCATCTGCGATGCACACCCGTGCAAGGATGCATATTCGTTCTTTGATGTCCTAGGTCCGTGCTTTTACGTCTGCACTCCGGTACAAAGCGTACATAAAAACGTTTGATCCCGGATAAGCTAATGGGGTTTTGTACTCTCCAACTGCAGCTGCTGCGACCTAAATCTCTAATCAGAGCCGGAGAAGGCGCTCTTTAGCTGTACAAATACGCTTGCTAACGACATCCTTCAGTCGATGCTTGTTACGTAGATTGGGCAAACGGAGCGGCCTGGTAGAATGTGCATATGCACAGACGACACAGCAGTTTGGAATGACATTAAGTTTCAAACTATGTAAAGAGAACACGACTACATCGTTAAGAAGACAATTTGCCATAGCCACAATCATAAGGACGGACAGCTACCTTTGTATCCACAAGCAGTGCTCACATATCAAACACAGAAAATGTTCATATGTAGCTTTTTCATTGTTTTTGAGTATCATAAGGGTGAGATTGTAACGTCTTTTATTGTGCATTCAGAAGAATGTGGTACCCCTGATAACGTGTTAGAAGGTTCAAGACATCAGAGAACTGAAAACATAGGCTATTTCAACGGTGACTCTACATCGTAAGGAGGCCATTCGCCATAACTACAACCATAAGGAAAACAACTACCTTTGTATTAGCACAAACTGCTCACGAAAATGTAGCTTTTGCACTGATTTCTAGTATCATAAGGTTTAAATTAAGATCGTAGCGTGTTTCGTTGGTTATTAAGAAGAATGCGGTACCCCTGATTACCTGTTAGATGGTTCAAGATATCAGAAAACTACAAACCCCGTGTATTTCCTCTGGAACGTACGACTGGTCGCTAATCCGGATTTCATAGTGTAGATTATTACGAAAACATTAGACTGGCAATTTAGCAGAATGGGAAGCTGTACACAAGCATTACGTTCAATACATCAGAGCACTAAAACGTAGCATCTTGCCTTTTGCAATTGCGTGCAGTAAAGGATAATCCAATTTTTGTAGTGTAGATCATTTAGTCAACCATATGAATTACTCATGTCGTTTTAGGGGTTTATATACGGAACTGCATGTTTGTTCTAACGGCCATTTCAAGCCGGGTTTTCTGTTTGACATATGCATGTATGGCGAGTTTTAGGGTCAGAGGATTCCGAATTGATTGCCAGTATACACTAGAGAGTTATCGGACTTAAAATCTCATTCGAGGAAAGTAGAATTTATTTGAATACATTGTTTTAAGATGGTTATCTCGACACAATCATCTATATAAGGGATCGGATGAATACTTAATTGTTATGTTCAGAATCCTATAAAGAATGTTGCATTGCTCGTAAACTCTTTTATTGTCTCTGCATATTTCATGAACAGGCTAAATTTAATCAGATTGTGCAACATATGACTCTATCAATTAGTAATAGGCAAAAGCTTTCTAGCATAGAGAAAGTCACCTAGGGCTAAAGGTATTTGAGTTCGCGTTTAGAGCAATGACCGCAACGCAGTTAAGGAATATATGTTTACAAATTGGAAAAGATAACACGGCGAAAGTGCCCTAATGTACAGTGATGTACAATGACAGCGTTCCCATAACGTTATGTGTAGAGACGTTATCCAATGATGTACGCTTGAGTGGTGCAGTCGGGAAGATCTGGGATCCTTTCCAAAAAATCACCTGCATTTCAACTCTAATCGACCTCAAATGTCCTTCCTGATAGAAGCAAAGTCACACAGATTAGCCTGGATACAAGGCTTTTGGGCTCTCTAGGGTGCTGCTTCCAGTCTTTTTGTTTGTGAAGCGACAGAGAGATTGTACTAATACTACTAAACCTAGCATCCAGGCTATTGAAGATACCAAAAGATCATATTTTGCCTCATTACTTCGAGGTTTAAGGGAATTTGAAAAGTTTGACTAGGTAAACAATAGCTGTTGGGATACGTCTTTCGTAAAGAATTTTGTAGTATTCTGCATGTATATACGGGTACGTTAATCTTCAGAGAAAGGGAGCTGACACAGAGAGAGAGAGAGAAAGGCAGAGAGAAAGGCAGAGAGAGACAGAGAGAGGCAGAGAAAGAGAGTAAATGAGGGATAGAGAGGGAGAGAGACAAAAAGTAGACGTGGGTAGAAGTAGGAGTGGCTACAATTCTCCGAAGTAAATACATTTTAAAAAACAGCTTTTAAACGCATATGGAGAGCGTCATTCGGTAACCTAGACAGACAGACACAGTAAGGCATGGTGTTTGTAATAGGCTGGGTTCAGCGTAACCGATCCACTCAGTTCAGTCCATGGAAACGACGTGTGCGTGTATAGAATTGGAAACCGTTACCACAGTCTACATGGAGTGGTATATATATATATATATATATAGGCATGGTCTAGGCCACTATTGCTATAATAATGAAATAAACGCGGTGCTCAAAAGGTTCATTGGTGAATGTTTGTCAGAATACGTCTCTTAAATCACTGCTTTTTAAAATAGTATCTGTACGTATGTACGATAGGTAGTTTGAAGTACTTTGCTCAGAGAAGAGAGGTTTCTTGTAATCATGGATATAGGTGTTCTAGAATATAGAACATAGTTATTGTTATACAGTCAATTGTTGTATGGAATTAATTAAAAATCAAAGACGTTTTGTTCATATTGGCATTACAAAGGACTACCAAATGATAGATCGCATAATCCATAATTTACAACTAGAAAGGTAACATTTGCAAAGCAAATGCATAATGTTTACCTTCGCATATGGTCCGCTCTGTTAATTCTTGCTCAAACACATTCATATTTCATATACAATGTATATGGTGACAAGAGTCTAAATCCCACCTGCTACAAAATTGCAACATGATGTAACCCAACACTAATTACCATGGTGACAGATGTCTGGTTTTGGTCTTTGAACTTATGGATTCCAAGAAGAATTTTTTTTTATATTCCAACATGTAACCACAAGACGTGGTGGGGACAGACTCAATTTTTTCAACTTATATTAATGCCGCCACCAACACAGGGGACAATACAATACTAATTTTTACCTGAGCCAAGTGAGGAAAGTCGTGTAAAGTGCCTTTCCCAAGGGCACAAGATCGGTGGCATGTCAGGACTCGAACCCGGGACCTCTTGGTTCCGAGTCGAACACTCTGTCGTTACGCCACACGGCCCAATTTGTATTAGTTAGATTAGCCTTATGAAATTGTAGTCATGTACCAGTAGATGCCATACTTTGTACCATGTACAATTGTTGTACAAGGTTATTATAGACAAATCTGTTCGGCTAGGCTTTATATCATCATAAAAAAATAATGTTGTACTCACTCGCACACCACCATCCTGTCGTACCGACCACCGAGCGCTTACACCACCACATAAGTTAGCAATTTGCTTGAGTTGTACACCTCTGTGTTTTTTTTACTCTTTATGTTGCTTATTGACTCGACAAATGTACAGGGACTTGTATGGAACCAAGCAAAATACATGTATGGACAAAGCCATAAATGTATGCGGCAACCTACGTACAGAATATATGTCAGTGGCAACAACTATAAACAAAATAATGCTGTACTCACTCGCACACCACCATCCTGTCATACCGCCCACAGAGCGCTTACACCACCACATAAGTTAGTAATTTGCTTGAGTTGTCCACCTCTGTTTTTTTTACTCTTTATGTTGCTTATTGACTCGACAAATGTACAGGGACTTTCGTACGGTCTACAACTAAGATCGAACCAAGCTAAATACATGTATGAACAAAGCCATAAATGTATGCGGCAACCTACGTACAAAATATATGTCAGTGGCGACAACTATAAACAAAATAATGCTGTACTCACTCGCACACGACCATCCTGTCGTACCGCCCACCGAGCGCATAGACTACGACATCAGCCGGGCCTCTGGACAGGGCCACCAGACAGTCACTCACCGCGAGGTGACCGATAAACACGTTATTGGCGCGGTGCAGGACCTTACACCGCACAAACGTAGTCACCAACACGATGTTCAGTCCGATAGAGAAGGCGTTTAGCAGCCCGGTGAAGACGCTGAATGTCGAGAGCAGTGCCCAGTCGACTTTGTAGTCTTCTTGCCGGGTGTAGTTAAAGTCCTGTCCGTAGTTTCCTGACATCATTGCGGCTTCTCTCTATCTATCTCTCACTCACTCTCTCACTCTCTCTAGCTCAGCTAGTGAGGCGGATCCAGGCAGTTGTCAGACGAAACGATCTCTAGATAGATTCTGAGTCCGATAGAAAAATAATGTCTAGTTCACTTCGTAGTCCTGCCGTCCGTAGTTGCCAGGCATCATCGCTGCGGCTTTTTCTCTCTTTTTGTGCGTACGAGCTCGGCTAGTGAGGCGGAACGCCAAAGTAGTCAGACGAAACGATCGCTAGATCCTGTAACTGATAGAAAATAATGTCTAGTTCAAGAACACGCCTCGTAAGTAAGATCTAGATGGACGAAGTACGATCTAGACGGACGACAATCCGACCTCCGCAGTGTCACACTTCATCAGTTATACGAGCGTTCGGAAGGGAAATCGAATATTCAGGAGCCGAACGTCGGCCGGGCTGTCACCCGGCACGGTTCAACATGCAGTGTGAAGCTTGTCTCTACTTAGCGCGGCTATACGTGCCGCTATGGGACCCTTACATACAGTCTGGGGAGCTCAGAGAGGAGGGTTTGATACAGTGGAGCAAAGGTACAGCCTCCAAGGCATGCATCATATAATGGACAACTAGAGAGGAATACAAACACAACGTTCGTAGTCCCCTTTTTTTCTGTTCGTACGTCTTGAATTTTGACAATGTTTTGCCGTGTTATTGGCAAGCAATAGCTCCACATTCGAGAATCACTCAATAACATATCGGAAAACTAGAGAGAAAAGCAAAGGCAACGTCAGTTCCTTTTTCCTCGCCTTGATTTTGGCGATGTTTTGCAGTGTCATTGGCAAGCAATAGTCCCATCGATGGAGACAGTGACTGTACACATTTGTTCTGGTTATTTAATAAGCACTGTCCTTGGTGCTGAAATACGGCTGCTTTGTCATCATTACTGTAGCTGTGGCAATGGTTTCACCTCCCCCCCCCTCTCTCTCT